GCACCATCCACCCTGGCCAAGGGACCAATTGAAAGCCAGCAGCCCTTTTTTTCTGGTTCATCATGTTTTCGTAAATTTCCACGCCACCAAACCCAAAGAAGGCAAACGCAATGAAGATAACAAAGTTCCCATGAGAAAAGGGAAAGCAAAGGTGATGAACAGTGTTTTGAACATAACTAGAACATGTTGGCCAGGTGACGCCTGCAAAGGCACAAAGAAAATCAACATCAAGCGAAGGAACAAAAACAGGAGAGACACCGCAAGCAATCTCAGGGCAATGCTGGGGAAATGGGAGGGTCCCAGGGCTTGGTCCAAGTACCAAACATCAACCAACGACAAAAGTAAAAGAAAGGGAACAGTTTGTACACCCGTGAAGCCGGCGAAGCCGGTTGGCAGACGTTTCAAAACTATAAGAACGATAGTTTGCAGCAGGCTTGTTTTCCCCTTCTCTGTTTCTCTCTCTCTCTCTCTCTCTATTTATCTTTATCTTTCTCTCGTTTTCTCTTTATCTTCGTCTTTGTATCTCTCTTTCTCTTTGTCTTGGTATTTCTCTCGTTCTCTGTGTCTTCCGTTCTTTCTTTATTGTATTTATTCATGTCTTTATTCAAACATTTCTTGTTTATTCATTCATTTCTTTACTCATTGATTGTGTCTTTCTTTCTTTATTGATTTATGTATTCCTTGCTATGTCTTTCTTTCTGTAAATGATTATATATTTATCTTTCCCTTTCTTTATTTTTCTTTCTTTCTTTATTTCTGTCTGTCTGTCTGTCTGTTTGTCTGTCTGTCGTTCGCCATTTGCTTTCGTTATGTCATTAGTTCTGTATTTGTTTCTTTCTTTACTTCTGTCTTTCTTTCTTTCTGTCTGTCTGTCTGTTTGTCTGTCTGTCGTTCTCCTTGTTCCTTCGTTATGTCATTAGTTCTTTATTTCTTTCATTTACTTCTTTCTTTCTGTCTGTCTTTCTGTCTTTCTTTCTTTCATTATTTCTTTCTTTCCTTCTTTCTTTATTTCCGTCTTTCTGTCTTTCTTTCTTTCTGTCTTTGTTGCTTTGCTTTCTTTCTTTATGTCTGTCTTTCTTTCTTTCCGTCTTTATGTCTTTCTTTCTGTCTTTCTTTCTTTTCTTGTATTTTCTTTCTTTCTCTCTTTCTCTCTTTGTCTCCTTCTCTTTTTCTCTTTTTTCTCTGTCTTTTGTTCTTTATCTTTCTTTTTCTCGCTACCTTTCTTTTTGTCTTGCTCGTGTTCTTTCTCTTCCTCTTCCGCTGTTCTTCTGTATTATTCTCTTCGTTCTCTTTCTCTTTCTCTTTCTCTCTCCTTTTAGGAACACAAGGAGGAGCTCTGCGCTCCTTTCCTTTTCATCTCCTTCGCACTTCACGGCTGCGGCCTAAGTGGACAGCAAACCGACGCAACAAGCCGTGATTCCGGCTGTCAGAAGTCAAAACTTTCTGCCGCGTCTAGCGCATAAACTTGTCCACCCTGTGGCACCTAATGTGAGAAAGGATTAGGAAAATATATGGAGGTAAGATGGATACTCTACTGACGTTAGGATGCACAACTTCTTGAGAGCCTGAAAGAGAAAGAGAAAGCGAGACCGCCTAAAATAGCCCAACCTCTTTTTCCTGGCGGGCTCGTGGCAAAAGCAAACAAAAAAGAAGAGGAGGCAGCTCCGTAAGTTCCACTTTTGCAGCAGGATTGACCGGGCGCAGGACTGCGCAGCTCGCTCGCGATAGACAAAGTGCGCCTGCATCACCGCAGCTCCTTTCATGGTCCATGTGCTCACAAACTCAGCCTTCTTTTCAAAACGAATCAGTTACAGGATGCTCACAGCCAATTGGTCAAGAGCACGCACGTGCTAATGTAAAATAATACTGATGTTGCTCATTCCAAAATTGTCAAATTTAACTCATCACGCATTCCCTTCGCAGGCCCAAGGAAGCTTAAGCTCCTGTTTTTTGTTTGCAGTTTGACCCGCCGAATCAGTGTCAACCCAACAAGGGCTCATCGAAGCCCTGTCACGTGACGAGGATTCGTCGAATCAGTGTCAACTTGGATCCTTGCCATCTTGGCGTGGATTCGACGAATCCGTGCTGAAACCGGCGCTTATTCGAAGGTTTCAGCGCTTGCTCGAGTGGATCAGCGCTGATCCGACACAAAAACCCTACTTTTCCTTGTCAAACCAGCGCTGATTCGCGAATCAGTGCTGAAACCAGCGCTTAAAGAAGGACTGGGTAAAGGACTCCTACATCGACAACATGATCGAGGAGTCTGGAATGAACAACTGCAACCCAGTGAACACTCCAGGAATTGCACACAACAAGCCGACAATAGAAGATGAAGCACTACTTGACCACGAACAACACAAAAGGTACAGAAGGATTGTTGGCAAACTACAATGGTTGGCATACACACGACCAGACATCGCATACTCCACAAAAGAACTAGCACGAGACCTCACAGCACCTACAGAACTCTCACAAAAGAGAGTCAAACATCTACTACGTTACTTGAACGGCACCAAGCGCTACAAATTCACCATAGAACCAACAACAACACTCAGAGCAAACACTAACAACATCCTGGATCTCGACGTTCATGTCGATGCCGACTGGGCAGGATGCCCTACTACCAGGAAGTCAACTTCAGGTTTCAACATCATCTTTTTAGGAACAACAGTTGCATTTGGCAGCAGAACACAAGCTACAATAGCACTCAGCTCAGCAGAGTCTGAACTCTACGCCATTTGCACAGGAGTCAATGAGGGACTACACCTCAGAAACTTCCTACTTGAAACCAACATTTGCAGCAAGCTAAATCTACGCATCCACACAGACTCCACAGCAGGCAAGAGCATTGCTACACGACAAGGCACTAGCAAACGAGCAAAACACATCGACCTTAAATTTCTCTACACACAAGACCCCATCAAGCACGACATCATCAGAATCCTCAAAATCAACACACTACACAACAGCTCAGACTTGTTCACAAAATACATTAGCAAAGAAACACTACAGAGGCTCATACAGAGCATTGGCATACGTGTTTAGCACTACGAACAACAACTGTTTCACAACTGTTGCACATCAATCACAACAGTTTGTATATGGCCATATGTAACTACCTGCATTTAAGTAACAGTAACAGTAACAGTGACTACAAGTAATAGTAATTGCAACCACCAGTAATTTGCACTTGCACTTTTGGCGGCTTTTGGCGGCTTGAGTCAACACTACATGTTGTTTTGTGTTTTACTACATGCCCGCATGTGCTTTTGTGAGCTAACATTGGCTCACTACTGTCTGCCCCGTTTCACTGCATCTCGATAGGCCGAACTACCAGCAATGGCTGGAACTACGCCCATGGATGCGACTACGCTGGATGTCATGCCGATGGAGGTTACTACATCAGCGCCAGAGACTACTCTGCCCGTCGAACAACAGGCTGGCAGTACTACACCGGACCGTGTTTTCACACCACCGGATCGGCAGGGCGCTACCGACTCCGGCATCATGGCTACTTTGGCCACTCCACCACCTGAGGCCTACAACTCCCTCAACTACAACTTCAATCACGAACTACCCACACCGGCACCTTTCTACAGACCCGACGACATCTTGGCACACCTCACTACAACTGAGAACAACATCCCCGACACTCCAGCGATCGACCCGGAGCAGAACTACTTCAGGGTCTACGCGGCTTTGACGCTCGAGGAGTTCCAACTACTAAGTCAACAACAAACTACACCCATCCCCGAGCTCAACTACAACCTACCAGTTCACGATCTACCTTCAGACCTACGAATGCCACACTACGACTCACTACCTCTTCACCTACGTCTTTCAGAGGCAGTCAACTTCTACTACTACAACCTTACATCACTACACCTCACAACCCAGTACACCAACTCGATGGTCATCATCCAACTACACATTCCACCAGAAGTTCTACTACGATTTGTCAGCGCTGGACAACTCGTCAACTTCTGCCGCGACTACGTGAGCCACATGATTTCCATCAAAGATGAGCACCACCTACCTACACGCCAGCTACATCAACGACTACACCGAATCACCTACAACTTGGACCAGATCACCACTACATTCAACCTGTCCAACAACTTCATTTGGAACTATCACATGCCCCTGTACCTACCAGAACTACTCAACTACTTCGACCAACCACAACAACTTCAAGACCACCACTACAAGTCCATCAACACGATGCTACACAAAAGTGTCACCTACTACGGCATCACCCTCCTCACGGCTACAAATCTTTCCATGCAACACAAACTACTACTCCACAACTACCTCACTACCACCGGCCAAGCACTTGCACCACCGGAATGCGACTACAACCGCCTTCGTGGCGGTCCAGACTTCCTCAACACATTCACTACCAACCACTATGCAGGCTTGGACTACCGCATCAGCCAAGTCCAGAACTACCGAGTCCAACACTGGACTAAGCACACCTGATCTCCAGGTGGAGCTGCAACTACGTGCTGTACTACGTCATCGTACTACGAGATGACTGAGAGCCATTTAGGGTTCTTGTGCAGCAATTTCATTTTTTGATCATATGAAGGTTAGTTGAACTACAGACAGCAGCGCTGTAGATACCTACCTTCGGTCATCTTTTTTTCAGAGACTACATGCCTGTTCGCTACAGTAGCATCGGCAAACAACATGTGCATTCGTTTTTGCCACTACTGTCAATACCACCTTTTGGGTCTATGGTTAAAGGACACTACAAGGTCTTTTAACCAAGGGGCCGTGTCAAATATCATGTTGCACTACTTGTCACTTGTGCATGCGTGATGTACACTACCCGACTGCAGGCCTTGAGTCTACCAGGAAAAGAGTGCATGCTGGCTGACTACATTTGTGTTTGTGATAGCTGAACAACACTTGCACTAGAAGTAAAGTATCAACGTATTTTAACGAGAGAGAGAGAGAGAGAGAGAGAGAGAGAGAGAGTAGTGCCTGTTTGATCCAAGGCCTGGACCAAGTGAAGCGACTAGCCACTTTCCTCTGCGCCTGCCTCAGATGGCCGGCGCGGCCGTCTGCTGAAGTATGGGCGCTTACGCAAAAAGGAGGGCAAAGTTGGGGGGGGGGCTAGAAGGAGACGATGGCTTGGTGGAAACTTTGACTTATCAGCACAAGCTTCCATTTGGGTGCGTAGACCCCTCCCTTGGGTCGTTCGGCGTTCAGCAAAAGAGGAGCACTGCTCGGCTGAGGCTTGAAGCATCCAAAGAAGGCCTGGCAAAGACGTGTCGCTGTCCCCAAATATCACATGTTGGTCGAAAGGTTTTTGTACTTGGGGTCAGTTGGATGGTCATCCTGGCAGCAACGATCCCAAAAATCACAATAGTGATTCCTGACAGAATACCGTAGGCCTAACAATTGGAGCTTCGGCAATGGGGGTCAATCGACGGGAGCCTGAAGGCTCAAAGATGGTTTTTAAGAGCTTTCCTGCGGGCAGATTTGAGGAACATTCAACCTTCAGCCTCATTTCGTGTCTGTTTTCTTGGCGGTTGATGAGTATTGTACGAGAAAAACGGTTGTGGGATCTTCAACTTTGCCATCCAAATGTATGGATGGCAATGGTTCCAACAGCTTGTTACGTGTGCTTTAACCATCCCTCCCGTTTGGGTCCTTCCACGGGTCAGGTCACACCTCGTGTGCGATGGGGAAGTCGTCCGAATACCAACTGGTTTGCTTTGCCAAACGAGCGCTCAACCCATTGGCCAGGCAGGTATTAGTTGCGGTTCTGGGAAGTCCTCTATAAGCCTTCATAACCATTCCAACAAGCAGATACCTGCAACATGAAAAGCCCAATTGGGAATCAGGGAGATTGCTTTGTTACACAGTAACCTGCCTGATTTGGTGGTTGTACTGATTATTGCAAGAAGAGATACATATTGTGGTTGTAGACAACCGTTTTACTTATGCGTCAACATTTCAGCGCCAGGCTTGTCATTTCGAGACGTCCTTGAACAAGTATCCTTGATAGTAGAATTTCTTTGGGAGGCAAAACCTTAGCTTTTCAACTTTGCCTGCTAATTATCTGGTTGGATCTTTACTCTACCATGTCTTGGAGCAATGTGTGTGTGTGTGTTTTCTTACAAGCCAGCAAAAAGGGGAATCGCCACAAAGTTGGCCAAGGGCTGTTATGGCTACCTGAGCGCAGCGAGCCACTGACTCCAATGTATCCCGCGTACATAAATATAAACAACAACGGGGCAAAGTGCCTCACAGAATCGGGGCAGGGTACCTTTTTGGCCTAAATTACTAGATTGTTGTGTGGAGCTTCGCCTTGTCTCATAGAATATTGCATGGCGATGAGATGTTTGCGCCAAGGGATTGAGGAAAGCCGAGGAGAATTAGTGCCGCCTGTTGCTAATCAGTATAGGGCGCTTGGGCATAGTTTTTGGCCGGGTGCGTTAGGGGCATGCGGCGGTAGAGCGCCGTGAGTGCACCCCCCGGGAATATTTGGGGAGCAATGATGATCTTCTCCCTAACATCATGGTTGTTGTTGGGAACCATTTTACATTTTGCTTATTGTGGTTTAGTGGGTGAAATCCCCACTTAGCTGCTATAGTTTAAATGTTTGCTCCCCAAACCCAACGTCAACCAAGACATGGGTACCTGGTAATGTGAAACGCATGGAGAGCTCATGGGTTCCTGGTTCCCATGTCTAGCAAAGGCAGGCAGCGGGGAACCCCCGCTTTCGAGGTGAAGCTGGACCTGCACAACGCCTACCGCGATGTCCATTTCTGGAAGCTCAGCATCTCGGTTGAGCTCATGACTTGGGGCTGATGCGGGATCCTGCGTGGACCAGCTCATTTGGTCAGTGGTCAATAGACCTGGTGTTTGGCACTCGGCTGGGTGCCACATACGTTTTCGAAGTCGCGATCTCCCCCAAAGAGAACCACGAAGGGATGTGTTTTGTGTCTTTGCTTTTTTTCAGACCCCCTGGTTGATGCCCAGGGGTTACTTCATCCCAGTTAGCAACTGGAGTTGTAGTCTCAACCTACCAACTTTTCAGGGGCAACCCGACTCCAGGAGCTTTGGATCTGCTTGAGACCATGGGATGGTTTTGAAGAGACACCAAAAGGATACGGCCCCTGATTCCTGGTTAAGGAAAGCTGGGTGTTAGGATCGCGCAAGCGTCACATCCATCACAGAGACATCAGAACGCCGCAGGCATGTTCGCAATCGCTGGCATGGTTGCCACGAGACATCGCGTGTCGGAGAGATACCAAGATAATCCTAGCATGTGATATGCA